GATACCCCCCCCCCCCCCCACACACACACGTCCTACCCCCACATTCCTCCCACATTACTCAACAGCCCGACCAACGTCCGCTTCACTCGCCCCTGGTATCTCCCACCGGGCCAGATACGTCCCGTCTAAAAATAGACCGCCAGTTGTCCTGGCCACCGTTATCAAAACCAGCCGGGGAAAAAAATGTCTCGGTGTTTACTTGCGTATGTGTCTAATCAGCGGGTTTTCTCGGAGCTATTTTTAGAACGTCCCGCTGTGCTCTTTGTAAGGTTTTTTTGGTATCGTCCTTTAACTTGTGGTCTGGTCTATGAAGTTTAGTTTTTTTTTATATTTGAGAAAATTTTATTGTAAAGTTAATGTATGTATTCAGATTTACGTTTTCTACAATGTGTTACGTCAAATAACAAAAGACAATATCTATGGTCAAGTTAAGTTAGTAATACGGCTGGTAAGTAGGTCACCAACCAGTTATATGGATCATGCAGGTTTTATTGAGCCGTGTAACTGGTTGGTGATCTACTTACCAGCCCTATTTTAGTTTTACTTGTAGAGCTTGGATGAAGTTATGTTTCTGATTACTGGGCGAATACATGTATTTTTTTTTTTTTTGGCAGAGTATAAACACTTGTATAAATTTGATAGTATTAAAGAAAAACAAGACACTTTACTTAATGTCTTCGTAAAGTGATTTCTATTTTTATATGGCCTAATAAAACATGTATTGTAAGAGCAAATCTAAGAAACGTTTGGTGTGCATAATAAAAAAAAAATTATTTAGCTTCATTGGGAAGGCAAACCGATTTGAAACTTAATTCGGTGTGAATAATTTATTCCCATAGTCTTGCATGTTACGTTTACAACCGGTATCACCAGTCTAATGTAATGGGTTCACAGGTGATTACAGTAAAAATCTTATATATTAGATGTTGATTCACTAACGGCTGATCTCCCTTACATTGTAAACAGTGTCAAATGAGTTGTCTACCTCAACAATACATCTTGTTTATCGTTTAAATGGTTGCCATGGAAACAACGGTTCGTGTTTTTCTTTGTTAATCAACAAGCTGGATCGTTGGATTTGATAACTTCGTGTGGGTGTCATGAAGGTATTACAAAAAGGCAACAAAATTAACTAACCAGCAGTTATTAAAACATTGTTACAAGTTCTTTTTTAGGAAACAGTGCGAGAATACATTCGTTTTATACATGTTAGTGTAGGTAAACCGTATGTCCTTATGTTATTTCTATTAAATAAATTTCTATTAAATAAAAAACGTGTCGCTAAAATATATAACTATATATACTATACCAACAGATTAAATGTTTAGATAATCTTTTTTATTTTTAGTCGGTCGGGATTGCTTAACTATACTTCTGGTAAGATATAAAGACCGAGGGCATCTAACTACACTCAAATAATGCAGTTATTAAAGCGCGCTGGGCATATGGCATTTTATATGCGGAAGTCACATGTATTTAGGCACTGAATAACACCAGAGAAAAATCTAGAACACTAGTTATTAACTTTTTTGGAGCAACCGAACCACACCAGTTTCATTCGCGCTATCACCAAACCCTTCTTAATAGTTGTATCATCAGCCCTGACAAAGTCCGATCGTGAATCATAAGAGTCAGGAGTGTGTCTTGACCTCCATCGAACCCTTGAGACTGACTCACCGAACCCCTGGCGTCTGAACCCACTTTAAAAACCGCTGATCTAGAACAATCAAGAACTTATGGTGTTTCGATTAATTTTTATTTTTCAACGGTGCATTTATTTTTTATTTTTTTTATAAAGCATGTATTCATCATCAATGTACATGATTTAAAATAACTTCTGATATCCGGAATTTGTATTACAACGTAGTACACAATGCATACTTTGGAAACTGCTGATTAAGTATGCATATAACCTACATCCACGTCATCGTTATGATAATCAGGCACTTAAACAATCGATCACCAGGCGTAAATGCCACCTCACAGAATCTGTACGACCAAGTCAAAAATCACACAGCTACGTCACCACACAACCACGCCCACTTGTCACATTAGTGTCAATGCCTCTTGACATCTATTAACTTGGCGTTTTGTTTGGCTTTCGGCTAGTGTGTCTATCTCTTGTCTTTAGACTTGCTTTGATTTCTTCTTCTTTTACGACAGTGTCATTTGTATCGCTTTAAGCTGACTTGTCTACGGCTACGGCTATCGCTTGTCTATAGACTTGCTTGATTCATTCTTCTTCTTTTATGTTGTCATAGTTTGCTTCGCTTTAAGCTAAGGTGTCTATGGCTATCTCTTGTCTTTAGACATACTTTGATTCATTATCCTTCTTTTATGACAGTGTCATTTGTTTCGCTTTTAGCTAATTTATCTACGGCTAACTACTCTCTTTAAACTTTGATTTATTGTCTTTCTTTTGAAATTGTCCTTTTTGCGCCCCCCCCCCCCTTTCTCTCTCCCTCTCTCTCTCCCCCCCCCCTCTATCTCTCTCTCGCTCTCTCTCTCTCTCTCTCTCTCTCTCTCTCTCTCTCTCTCTCTCTCTCTCTCTTTCTACACACTTTTACAAATAGATACTTGAATTCTATTTTGCTGCATTCCATCTAGAAGTACACAGTGCCTTCATAAACCGAAGTGTACAACATAATATATCTTATAGGATTAACGGAAAGGGTTACTTTAAACTTCTAATGTAGGCTACAATGAACATCAGCATGTTCTTCTAGAACAAACCAAGTCTAAGTAACCCAAATCTTCACAACCTGCACACAACTTGTAAATAACCATTACATTCGAGTGATTTTTATAAAAATGCATTTTCAAGAAGAAAGTTATGCTACTTTGCCGAGTGATTATCATTGCTTCCTTTAAAAATAATGAATGTTTTCATACATTTACATAGTTTAATAGTTTAATAAGCTAAATCTAGTTTAAATTTCTCATACGGCCTTCTAATCTTCAGATGCCAGATCGCGATAAGACTAATTTACTGAACTAACAATTAAGAATGTCAAGTAAGACTGGCCACACTATCTTAAACACCTTTTATCAGCAACAGCGATGATTTATAATTAACGCGTTTGTCATGGGCTATTTCTGGACAGCGGTGCTTATGTTGTGATGGCGTGATCGTTTGTTTACGTTGGGCTAGCGTGACAGTAGGTTTACCTGTTAGCGGCACGTGAGGCAATAAAACAGATCACGCGATGTTTAATCTAGCGTACTTCAGGATTTGTATAGGTGAAGTCAGGTCACACGATTACATTCTTACTGGCTAAGTTCCTCATCAGTATTTCTTTTTAAAAGATGTTTTAAAATATAGATGACTTGCATATCAAATATTTAAATCTTTGTAAAAAAAAATTTTATATTTTAAAATGCATTGTTTTCGAATGTGGATCTCCCCTCCCCCCCCCCCCCCCCCGTGCCAATAAACAGTGATCACTACTCCACACCCAGTTGCACTGAATGCGCGTTCTCGTGTATGTGTGAACTAATCAGCTAGAAAAACCAAATATGTGCAGAGGAAAGGTTTTTTTGTGGTCTTACGGCATCTAGGTGTACAGCACGTTTTATGGGATCTAGGGGTCGTGTGTACATGTTTTAACAGAGTTGATGTGCGATATAGTTTTAAACCCACGTTTTTTTTTATTTAAATAAGTAAATACAATCAATACACAGAACAATTCTTCTATTCAACGTTGCACCTAAGGTCCAAATCTTTTGTTTACACTGTTACACAAAACATCAACCGTCTTATCGATAATCGATAAATCAAACCGGCATTAGGTGATGAACACACATTTATTATGAATACAACTATACTAGCACGCAGTGGAAGCAATTATTCATTTGTTTTTACTTTAAAAACTCGTCATTGTTTTTTTTTTAAATAAGAAATAACTAGGCAGTTTATCATGTCTTTACCTTGTGGGTGGAAAGAATAGTCTGTGTCTCTAAGGGAATTAAAGGTACGCATTTAAACGTTTCCAGCGTACAAGATCAAGTTTTGCAGATTCAGAAAAAAAAATCATGCCACTAATTGCTATTTAATCGATGGCATTGTTTACCCGCTTGTTAGCATTTGAGCGAGATTTTCTTTTTCTTGCCTGGCATTTGCACTTTGACCTCTGACATTTTGATGTTCCACTTGATACAGAATGTTATCTCAGCAAGGGTAAAAAGATATTGTATGTGTTGGCAGCTATGGAAGAACCTTGGCCAGATTAGGATAATAGAACAATAGAAGAACATTTGCCAGATTTGGGGGAGTTTAGAACTATAGAAGAACATCGGTCAGGTTGGGGGTGGGGTGGGGGGTGGGAAAGCTTAAAACTGTAACAGAACATTGGTCAAATTTGAGGGTGCTTAGAGCTACCGAAGAACCTTGGCCAGACAGGGTGAAATTAATCGTTTATCAGCAAATGTAAAGCTTGCATTTTTTTTACACAACGCTACTTTCCCCCACCCCCAGTCTTCTACCACCCCTAATCACAATGAACACTGTACACGTACATCAACTTTACGTACATCCGCTTTACGTACGTACGCCCGCTTTACGTACGTACGCCCGCTTTACGTACGTACGCCCGCTTTACGTACGTACGCCATCTTTACGTACACCAGATTTACGTACACCAGATTTACGTACACCAGATTTACGTACACCAGATTTACGTACACCAGATTTACGTACACCAGATTTACGTACACCAGATTTACGTACACCAGATTTACGTACACCAGATTTACGTACACCAGATTTACGTACACCAGATTTACGTACACCAGATTTACGTACACCATCTTTACGTACACCATCTTTACGTACACCATCTTTACGTACACCATCTTTACGTACACCATCTTTACGTACACCATCTTTACGTACACCATCTTTACGTACACCATCTTGACGTACACCATCTTGACGTACACCATCTTGACGTACACCATCTTTACGTACACCATCTTTACGTATACTGACTTGTCTTCCTCAGAATGGCCCTCCACGTAGGAACGCTGCAGATCTTTGAGAACAATGTAGGGGTCAGTGACGCGGTCTTGCTTGACCCCATGACCGAAGAGGCTTTCATTGATAACCTGGAGGAGAGGTTCAAACACCAGCAGATATATGTAAGTATATCGGTAGCTTGGCTCGCATTTTACATACAATATCTCTTTAAAATATACAAATCAAAAGCAAAGCTATTTTTAAATCATCGCACCCGTCCTGCGAGTTGCGCTGTCTCAGAAGAAAGGCTGATGCAATATTTTAAGATTTCATCAATTCCTTACTATAGTGTATTTTTAGACGCTCGACCTTGATTTTTTTTTAATTTGAATTATTTAAATGTACTTTTAGAATGTGTTGTACAAGCCTAATGAACTGCACAATATTTTTTTCTTCATTAACAGTGTATTAAAAGCATGTTTCTATATAAACATTGTAAAATCTACTTCATTTACGTTCAATGGTTAATCTTCTTTACATATTAGTGTGTGCAATTGTGTGTACAATTCCCGCCCACTCGTTGTACGTTAGTGATAATCGACCAAAGTGACCCAAAATATGTAAAAAAAAACGATATGTGCAGTAGAACAAGTGATTTCTCTACTTTCAGCATAATTCTAAGCAAACCAATTAAGTGTAGTACCTGTTGCTGACCTTTAAGTATAACAAGTGTGTTCTGACAATCACCGCGTTTTCACCCACCCAACTGCGTCAATACCACACATGATTAACATTTCTGGATTGCAATTATTTTGTTTTTCTTATTTTCTTTTCCATCGCAGTAATCATATTTTTCCCGAGGTTAAGCGATAATTACCGCATGCCAGTCCTACCGTTCAAAACATAATTGTCGCCCAATCGATATAAGCGAAGATCATCAACCTCTGAGGCTGCGGTGTTCTGATCGACTGATCGTAGATTCGTCATGTGGCTATAGGCTATATGCCGATAGTCAACCTTCGGGGCTAGGGTCGGGTCATTGGGGAATTACAAAGTCATGAAAAAATCGGTTAGATACAGACTTTCAACCTTTGAGGCGATCGGGAAATTACCAAGCCTTGGAAAAATCGGCTAGATACAGACCTTCAACCTTCGACACTAGGGTCGGGTGATCGGGAAATTACGATGTTATGAACAAATCGGTTAGATACAGATCTTCAACCTTTGGGGCTATGGTCGAGTGATCGGGAAATTAGCAAGTCATGAAACAATCGTTTACATACAGATCTTCAACTTCCAAGACGGGTCGGGTTATCGGGAAATTACTAAGTTATAAAAAAATCAGATACAGAACTTCTACCTTTGACACTAGGGTCGGGTGATCGGGGAATTACAAAGTCATGAAAAAAATCGGTTAGATACAGATCTTCAACCTTCGGGACTAGGGTCGGGTGATCGGGAAATTACCAAGTCATGGAAATATCGGTTACATACAGATCTTCAACCTTCGACCTAGGGTCGGGTGATCGGGAAATTACCAAGTCATGAAAAAATCGGTTACATACAGATCTTCAACCTTCGACACTAGGGTCGGGTGATCGGGAAATTACCAAGTCATGGAAAAATCGGTTACATACAGATCTCCAACCGTCGAGCTAGGGTGGGCTTATCATCAGCAGGTCTTGTCACAGTCAGGTGGATGCAGATCAATATGGGAAGCAAAGTTCAGCGCAAACCCGATACTTTATGTAGCTGTGTACACCTCAACAGGTAGTCGATAAGGCGTGGCACGCGATATTTTTCTCGTGGGTTTTTTTTCGTCTCCCACTTCTTATTTTTCTGTTTTTATTTTCGCTTAGGTTTTTTTTTCCACTGCTGTATTTTTTTTAAATTAGATTTAATCCCCCGGGGTAAAGAAAATAATAAAGAGTCGTGTTTTTTTTAGCCAGACGAACCTGAATAATTAAATAAAATGCCGAGATTGCAAAATTTAAGCTCAGGTTTAGAGGAAATCGTGCCGTTAAGTTTCCTCGGATGTAAAAGTTGACAAATTTCCCACCTCCCTCTCTCCCTCCTTCTCTCCCTCTCTCGCTTTTTCTCTCTCTCGCTTGTTCTCTCTTGTGTAAAAGCTTATCAATTTTCACATCTCCACCATGTAGAACTTGGCCATATTATCTTTTTTATCTCAAGTAAAACTGACACATAACTTTAATTGTCTATGTAAAAGTTGAACAATCATCCTCCTTAACCAATTCCCTGTCTCTATATTGTAACAGACCCATTTCCCCCTCTCTGCCATGTAAAAGACCAAATCCCCCCCCTCCTCTCTGCCCGTTAAAAGACCGATTCCCTCCTCTCTGTCCTAAACATGACCAATTTCCCCCTCTCTGCCGTATAAGACCAATCTCCCCCTCTCTGCCTTATAAATGACCAGTTCCCCTTTCTACCATGTAAAAGGCCAATTCACTCCCCCCCCCCTCGTCTTCAATGTACACCCAAACCAATTCAATACTCTCCTCCTCAGACCTACATCGGTAATGTGGTGGTCTCCGTCAACCCTTACGAGAAACTGCCGCTCTACACACACGCTGTCATTGAAGAGTACAGGAGTCGAAATATCTACGAGCTGCCCCCACACATGTGAGTATGGCACGTCATTATACTGGCACCCCCCCCCCTACACACACATGTAAGTATGGCACGTCAGTCTACCCCCCCCCCCCCCCCACACACACACATGTTAGTATGGCACATCAGTCTACGTCCACCTCCCACAGGTATTTTATTCCAATCTATGAGCACCCTCACCCCCCTCCCCCCCCACACACACATGTATGTCACGTCAGTCCGTCTCTGCCCACCCCACAAGAAAACGTCACGCAAATCCCCCCCCCCTCCCCATTCACACTTCTAAGTGTCACGTTGACCGACTAGCTCTCCTCACACTCGTGTCATATCTCCCCCACCCATACACACACGTACACACACACACACTGGTGTAGCCGCCTCACTCTACCAACTCTCACCACACATCAGCTGGTCATGTTTAGCTCTCTGACACCTTAAACCATCTACTAGCCCCCCACCCCCTCCCCCCTCTCACAAACACATACACACACATATAAATATGTCACGTCAAGCCATTCAAGTCTGGCACTCAACATTTGTCTTACCTGACCTGCCCGGCATCTACCTGCGCTAGACTATAACAACATGTTGTCTTACCTTACCTGATGAAGGTTTATTTACCTGTTTACACAGCCCTACATTTTTTTCGCGTAATTACGTCTATGTTTACATCCACTTTGACCTCTTGACCTTTCTTCTACTCGTTGTTTATGTATAGACATATTTAACTAAAACACATTCCAAAATCTGAGATTTATTCTTTATATTGGAATTTATACATTCTATTTCTAAATCCTTGTTTCAGTATTTTACATTGCCTTCATACTAACATGACAGTCCCCATTTAACACTGATTAACCAATCATTCGACAACGTCAATTATTACAAGTTTGCTCTGTCTTGGTCAATCGATCTAAATTACTTCCCATGATGAACTGAAACATAGTTTACGTTGAGTTACTTCCCATGATGAACTGAAATATAGTTCACATCGACCTTTCGTTGTTTAAACTTATTTTCGAGAGTTTTCATTACGAGGTTATAGACGTTTTTATTTCGGGTAGCTCTTCCTTAAAGTTCATCTTGATAAATAAAACACAGCTAGATCCATGTTTAAGCTTTATCTTAGTGTGGGGTGTGGGGGGGGGGGGGGCAACATGAAAATATTTTTTTTTTCGTAAATGAAAGAAACTAAGCTTTTTGTTTTACTTGAAGAAAATAGAATTGTCCTGTTTTCTTTATCACGTAATAGTAATTCTCACGACTTGGTTCGAATGTAGCAAATTGAATAAAACAACAATTTTTGTTAAAGTAGGCCTATTTAACTTATTAGTTTTGTGTAGAATAGTAATTGTTGTGACGTAAGGATATGCCTGCAACTCAACTCATGGCTATACTGATTTATTTACCCAGATATTGAACTAGAGTTACAGCACTTGGTTCCAATTCTGAAACAGGCAGATCTTTGTATCCGGGTCTTTAATTATACAATGTGCGGTTCGATAATCTAATCCGGCCTTCGGGAAATAGATGACCTGTTACTCTTAGATAATCCAGCCTTTGGGAGATAGGTCAACTCTTAGATAATCCAGCCTTTGGGAGATATGTCCACTCTTAGATAATCTAGCCTCGGGAGATAGGTCAACTCTTAGATAATCCAGCCTTTGGGAGATAGGTCAACTCTTAGATAATCTAGCCTTTGGGAGATAGGTCAACTCTTAGATAATCCAGCCTTTGGGAGATAGGTCAACTCTTAGATAATCTAGCCTTTGGGAGATAGGTCAACTCTTAGATAATCCAGCCTTTGGGAGATAGGTCAACTCTTAGATAATTCAGCCTTTGGGAGATAGGTCAACTCTTAGATAATCCAGCCTTTGGGAGATATATCAACTCTAAGATAATCCAGCCTTTGGGAGATAGGTCAACTCTTAGATAATCTAGCCTCAGGAGATAGGTCAACTCTTAGATAATCCAGCCTTTGGGAGATAGGTCAACTCTTAGATAATCCAGCCTTTGGGAGATAGGTCAACTCTTAGATAATCCAGCCTTTGGGAGATAGGTCAACTCTTAGATAATCCAGCCTTTTGGAGATAGGTCAACTCTTAGATAATCCAGCCTTTGGGAGATAGGTCAACTCTTAGATAATCCAGCCTTTGGGAGATAGGTCAACTCTTAGACAATCTAGCCTCAGGAGATAGGTCAACTCTTAGATAATCCAGCCTTTGGGAGATAGGTCAACTCTTAGATAATCCAGCCTTTGGGAGATAGGTCAACTCTTAGATAATCCAGCCTTTGGGAGATAGGTCAACTCTTAGATAATCCAGCCTTTTGGAGATAGGTCAACTCTTAGATAATCCAGCCTTTGGGAGATAGGTCAACTCTTAGATAATCCAGCCTTTGGGAGATAGGTCAACTCTTAGATAATCTAGCCTCGGGAGATAGGTCAACTCTTAGATAATCTAGCCTCGGGAGATAGGTCAACTCTTAGATAATCCAGCCTTTGGGAGATAGGTCAACTCTTAGATAATCCAGCCTTTGGGAGATAGGTCAACTCTTAGATAATCCAGCCTTTGGGAGATAGGTCAACTCTTAGATAATCCAGCCTTTGGGAGATAGGTCAACTCTTAGATAATCCAGCCTTTGGGAGATAGGTCAACTCTTAGATAATCCAGCCTTTGGGAGATAGGTCAACTCTTAGATAATCCAGCCTTTGGGAGATAGGTCAACTCTTAGATAATCTAGCCTCGGGAGATAGGTCAACTCTTAGATAATCCAGCCTTTGGGAGATAGGTCAACTCTTAGATAATCTAGCCTCGGGAGATAGGTCAACTCTTAGATAATCCAGCCTTTGGGAGATAGGTCAACTCTTAGATAATCTAGCCTCGGGAGATAGGTCAACTCTTAGATAATCCAGCCTTTGGGAGATAGGTCAACTCTTAGATAATCCAGCCTTTGGGAGATAGGTCAACTCTTAGATAATCCAGCCTTTGGGAGATAGGTCAACTCTTAGATAATCCAGCCTTTGGGAGATAGGTCAACTCTTAGATAATCCAGCCTTTGGGAGATAGGTCAACTCTTAGATAATCCAGCCTTTGGGAGATAGGTCAACTCTTAGATAATCCAGCCTTTGGGAGATAGGTCAACTCTTAGATAATCCAGCCTTTGGGAGATAGGTCAGCTCTTAGATAATCCAGCCTTTGGGAGATAGGTCAACTCTTAGATAATCCAGCCTTTGGGAGATAGGTCAGCTCTTAGATAATCCAGCCTTTGGGAGATAGGTCAACTCTTAGATAATCCAGCCTTTGGGAGATAGGTCAGCTCTTAGATAATCCAGCCTTTGGGAGATAGGTCAGCTCTTAGATAATCCAGCCTTTGGGAGATAGGTCAACTCTTAGATAATCCAACCTTTGGGAGATAGGTCAGCTCTTAGATAATCCAGCCTTTGGGAGATAGGTCAACTCTTAGATAATCCAGCCTTTGGGAGATAGGTCAGCTCTTAGATAATCCAGCCTTTGGGAGATAGGTCAGCTCTTAGATAATCTAGCCTCGGGAGATAAGTGACCTCTTCAAAAAAAACCAGACCGAGCCAATTATATTTCAATATAATAAGTTCACATTACGTGATTGGAAAATAGCTCGAGCCATTGGTAATTACCGGGTTTAGGGTTAGACGTCAGTTTTCGATCAATCGCTGTAAGCTGTTATTGACGTCAAGTGATGATTAAGATAATTACCGGCCAGTGTCAATTGTGTAGAATACAGTGTGTTAGAAATATTGGAACTCAAGGTTTAAGGAGGTAGAAAGATGAACATTAACACGAACATAGTATTGTGTGGGCGGAGTTTTAGTTATGTTTTGTGGCCAGAGTTTGTTACGTTTAGTGACCAGGGTTTTAGTTACGTTTTGTGGCCGGTGTTTGTTACGTTTTGTGACCAGGGTTTTAGTTACGTTTTGTGGCCGGTGTTTGTTACGTTTTGTGACCAGGGTTTTAGTTACGTTTTGTGGCCGGTGTTTGTTACGTTTTGTGACCAGGGTTTTAGTTACGTTTTGTGACCAGGGTTTTAGTTGCGTTTTGTGGCCAGATTTAGTTACGATTTGTGGGCGGAGTTTTTAGTTACACAGATGTTTGACTTATTAGCTGAAGGTATTGTTAAAGAAAGAAAAAACAATATAAAAAAAGTTAATTCACTTTTTATTTTCAGTTAAACCTTTATCGTTGTTATTCTATTAGGCTGGTTACTATCTAATAACATCTAACTCCAGACATTTAATTAAAATCTGTGTGGCTGTTGCACGTGACATTTTAATTAAGTTCTGGCCTAAGGTTGTTGTTTTAGTTTTTTACCTTTATTTCCGCTAATTAATTAGTCTGTGTGGAATGTATAAAGGATTTTATTTCGTCTGGTCGTACATTAACTACATTTGTCTTGATAGAATGGAAAGTTCTCGAACTAGCTATGGACCATGCATTTATGATTTCTGGAACGTGGTGGGGGTGTGTGTAGGGGGGGGGGGGCGGAGGGGAGCTGTGAACGTTATTGTAGATTATGAACAGTAAATAGAAAATCGTTTTGTTTATGTCATAAAAAGATGACCTCATAACGAATCCCTGAATTTATTAGGCTTTTTTTTAATTAAAAAGATTACCTTTAAGACTTAATCAAACACGTATATAACCTTTATTTTATTAATTGGATCGTTTTTTTTTTTATAATCATGTGTTGCGGACCTTCGTTTTAATAAACCGGGTGTACAACCAAATGTTTCATTCTAATCAGAAACAAACATAGAATGCACTTTGTGGTGCTGTTAGTATCGCTTTCTTACGTCAATAGATTTCTAACTGGAATCAGTAGATTTGGTTTTCATCCAAGTCTTAAGAAATCATGCCATCAACATGGCCATGTCTATCATCAACCAGACGGTGTCCTTTACCAGAAGTATTTTATCTTGCGGCTTAGTGTCGGGCAGACTCCTGGGACACGGTGCACGCGCCAATATAAGGGATTGG